GTTACATTTGTTAGGTTAAGTATAGTGTACGTTAAAAGGTATAGGTATGTTAAAAGATCTCTATAGTTGTTTAGTACGCATAATAAAAGTTCCGCTTAATTTAGAACTTGGTAGTGCGGTATTGATTTTATTATAATTATTATCTTTTCAAAGAATAACGTATTTACAATTTCAATAATTATTAATATTAAAAATAATATATAAGATAAATTACATTAATAATTACATTAATACAGACAATAAAAAAAAAATAAGATAAAAAAAAACACCTAAAAGTTAATTGCTATGATTGTCCTATCGATTTTCAAAGTCAGCATTTCCACGTTGAATTGCTATTTTTCAATTTTCAAAGTCATCTAGATTTTTCAATAAGCTGTTAATTACTTTCAAAATTGGCCAACCCTGTGAGGTTGATCTTGAACCGACCACCGCCATTTATGAAGCCCTTCCGATGACAAAGGCAACTACTTATCCAAGTAGGTATTATATTTTGTTTTATTTTAAATTGACTTGTATAAACAGTAAATTTTCAATACAATTCTGTTTTTGTATGCATAATCTACTTGTATATTCCGGTGGTTTCGATGATTCTTTTTGTGTTATATACCTACCCCTGTGGTTTCTTGCCTTATCTTTTATTATTATATTTATTATTATCTAGATAGTATGACTTTCTTTTATTTGACATATTCGTAGTTTATTGAATTAGTTTTATTTGTTTCATTTGCATATTTTTTAAAGTCAGTCAATTAACTTATTTCTAATCTTTTTAAAACTAATTTTGATACATTAAATATTCATGGTCTGTAAAACAAGTTCTTAGGTTTTACATGTAAAAAGAATAAAAAAATATTTTAATTAGCTAATTTAAAAAAAAATCTTAAATTTTAAATCTCATATATAAGAAGAATAAAATTACAAGATCACACAAATCGACAGGAAACTACTGCGATGCATTTCATACATGTGTAGGAAGACATCGTCGTATATTGAACGGTATGGATTCCAAGGATTTTGTACTAACTTTAGGTTTTATTATTATAGGCATATGGCTCATTGTTATATGGCATATTACTGTATTCCAACATGGCAACAATGTCAATTATTACAGATAGTTTTTAACCGTTATTAGTAATTTAATCAAAAGTAGTACAATTTCCTTGTTTCATTGAAAAATATGGAGCAATTTGTAAACTGTGCATGATTCGCAGTGGAATATTATTTGAACGTGATTATATGTAAGTAAACACTGGCACTTACTAAGCAGTTTTGTGTTTGTTAATTATAAGTAAACAAATCAATCTAACAAATTACATGTCTTGTTAAATTTTCAATGAGATGACAGCGATCTAGAAGGATTTTTCTAAACTGCTACTAATTAATAATATGGCTACGTAATTATTAGAATTATATTAATGAAAATGTGTGATATATGAATTCATAAATGGAGATTCGTTCAGATTTAGATATGACGCTTAAAAATTATATTAAAATCTAGGTATACTGAGTTTTTAATAGAATAATTTTTAATGTATAGACTAGTACAATATTATCACATAATATGTCGACTACAAATAATGGGATAATAGCAATAATTATATGTAATATTAAAGAAATAAATGGATCTAATCAAGTTGAATTCGTATCATTAAATTCCTAATATCTCGGCAGAATTACAACTGCCTAATGGTAAACTGAAGTGAAATGACTGCACAATATCGTCACTGGTTTATATTTAAATTTTTCAAAAAATAATCTTAACCAAAAGATTCTTCATTAAAACGATTTCTTAGAGTCAACAAACGCCGATGACTGTTGCTCTAAAATCAGCGATGCTGTACAAATTTCTAGTATTTACATATAACTAGTCTAACACGTGATTAACATCTTAATACTGTACTTTCCTGTATTGCTTCGTTTATTCCCAAATAAGGATCTCATAGATATATAATACAGAACGCGAATTTTTCAGCTCCCAGTAGGTAGACTCTATTCTCAACCCTGTTTCGTTCAAATCAACATCAAAGCAAATAAGTTATTGTAAATTGTTATATTAAATAATAATTGTACCTATAAGAAGTTCTTTCATTTATCCTGAAATACATAAAGAATAAAGTGCACAATTGAAAGTTCCGATAACTTTACATAAAATTGCCTATTGATTTCAATGTTAATTCATCATAACGAGTTCTTATTGCAAATTCGGAAAATTATACAATTATTTGTATTAAAGAAAACTTTTCTTTGCAATAATTATATTAAACTTCTTAAATAATTATATCAATTCATATATACGTTATTAAATAGAGCATATTTTATTAATTACGACAATTAAATTATTTTCCCGTTTACCTTAACTTTAAATATTGACTTCCTTAGTCATAAAATAAGTATGTATAGGTATATTTAGCTTTGTTAGCGGTAATGTATGTAGGTATGCAAGAAAATCAAGATCTAAAAATATGACCAATAATCACATTATTTGAACCGCCGCGCCATATGACTAACGTGACTTGACATCCCGTTTTAAACAGAATTGAACCTTTATATAATTAGGTACGAGTCCCGGTGCTCCCAGAATCTACTGTCAAAATCTGGAACGCAATATTGTCCCCTTGTAGGAAATTTCTTTGATGTACAGTTTTCTAGAATATTACAATAAAGTCAATATCGATGAAAGAAAGCGGAATGCAAGAAATTGTCGCAACTTGAAAGACCCAACTTTACACCAGAGCAAAAAAACCATTTCAAAAATTTATAACTCATATATTTATCGAGAGAAAGAAAGAAAGAAAGTTTCTTTCCCTCGATTAATATATGAGATATGCTTTTTGGTAATAAAATAATCTGAAAGAATTATTGCACATTTTTCACATTCATAACCATGTGACCCGTAATATATGTGTGTGTAATGATAAAATGGCAAAAAGAAGGCCGATATCTGTGTATACCTTACTGTCATATAATATGAATATAATGTTGTCTTATCCAATTACTTACTTTTGTATTTTTGTTATTTGTCATTATTTACTTTCTTTTATTTTTATTACATTTTTAAGTCGACTCGCGAACATTACCTATGACATAGTTGACTTTATACAAATTGTCATTTTACAAATATTATATTTCATTTTAATTAATTTATTCATATTTATTTTCTTTCAAATTCATCTTTTCATACCCAATTCCCTCATAAAGGGTTACTTAAATTATGTTCTATATCGTACTTGTACGTATCCATACAAAATATTACTTTTATTTTAAACACTATGTCTATACAAAACTAATTTGACCTCTTCGATGTGTTATATACTCGTATATATAGTATTGCTACAATTTCTGTTGATCAGGCCGATAGTCGTTAAATCACATACGTATGGCACAAATGGTCTGTATCTGAAGTGTTTTTATGTAACTATTATTATTATTAGATAGTTATAGGTATAATTAATATAGTAATACACAAGTAAATAGTTAAATAATTCCGTATAAAGTTACTTATTCCGTAATAACTCCTACGCATGATTGGTACCTTGAAAGGCATGTGAAAACGTCATGTCCGTGGTGCATTCATGTTTATAACTCACTTTCCGTTAGGCCATCTACCTATTTGGTACTGACAGGTTTCGTGGTTTTTTTTACGTATCTAGAAAGATACATAAAAAAACCACGAAACGTATCAGTTTCATTCATAATTAGTAATAAAAAAGATATATCGTGGAACTTTTATGACAGGTACAAAACATGTGCGCAAAGTTTTGTGAAGTGACGTAGAGTGACGCAAGTAAAACCCTGGTCAAATTTTGTAAACAAGTTTGAGCACCTTTTGAATTTATTTGCGGTTTCATTTTAGTCCTAAAACGTTATGAGTTATTTTTAGCCGTAACAACGTAACCACAGACGTTGTTTTGGTGGGCTAACTTAAAAAACTGGCTAAGAGTGTATCACACACTTATTCTCAGGGTACTGTGACTATTATTAAATATACATTATAAACGAGATATTTTCCGTGATAATATTAGGTATGAAGGAGCTCCCTATATTTCGACGTTCTAGTCGCAAATCGATTTGCAACAGCGTCGGAGTATCGAAAGCATATTCATATAATATCTGGAAAGAGTTTATCACGATGTTTATTATTAAATGAATAGAATTATATTCAATAATAAAACAGATGTAAGTGTTTTACTAATTATTATATTTGATAGATCAATAAAAAAAATTACATTGTTAACTGCGTACATGCACTGTAATGTTCTATCACAGATAATATAATGTTCTATGAAGAGAAGAAGGAAGTTTACCTATAAATGTTGAGTGATCGTCAATTAAACATCATCGTTCTTGCTGTTATGATATAATCATTTGGTATTACAATTTTATATATCAATTTCTTACAAAATTTCCGTTTTACTATTTAATAACGGAACAATAAAAAAAGAGGAAGATATTAATGAATTGAAGTTTTTATGTTTTATTTTGATAGCTATATATATTTATTACCTAAGAACTATTTCTGTAATTTAATTATTAATATATTGAAAGAAGTGTCTTTATGTACCTATATCGTATGTCATTTCTCTCACCTATTTTTGACGCCAACCTTTTCAAGATGTTTTTCGGTTGAAGGATAAGTAAACTGAAACTGAAATAACATGATATTGAGGAATGACAATTGTAGTTCTCTAGAATGGCAACGCATAACAGGTTCATAACAGTCATATGATCACGTTATATCCGGGATGTTGTTTATGTATAGAATTTTATAGGCAATGATTACCACTATAGAACAGAGTCTTTATTATGTGGTTACCATTTACCATTAGGCCGTGAGCTCGTTTGCTACTTAAAATATTTTATATAAAAAAAGTATTAAAAAAAAAACATATGTTACGTATAAAAAAATAATAAATATAAAAAAATAATACATATTTCTTCATAGATTATTTTAGACTATAATGTTTATTATAGACTATAATTTGATTTTGTTTCTTTCCCAGAACATGAATCACAGTTTAGTCGAGTCTCCTTTACTAAACACGGACCTGACGAAAAACAAAATGGAAAGGTGGGTGGAAGCCCAAGCCAAGGGTGAGAAGATTGAAGTAGACGTGTACGGGAAGCCATCCCCGAAGCAGCTCAAAGACTTAGAGAATATCAGGAATTTAAACAGAGAGCTGCAAGATCAGTTGCGTGTAAGTTTACTAATTTTCGAATTAAGTTTATTATGAATTTTCCATAACTATATGATATCTCTACGTACACTATGACATATATAGTATCCCTCAAAGAATAACCTCCTTCGTGTTTTCTTTTTCTGTTCTAATTTGTTATATTTACCTCTATACCCAGTAACTCATAACTATAAATCACTCCGTAACATATGTAAGATTATTTTAATATCCTGAAATAATATTCTATACCTCTTTCTTCAAATCATGATTCATAACTGAACTTAATGCATGGAAATTGTTTATTCGTTCTATGTCAGAACTAGTTAATATACTTTTCACCAATTTATCTCATTACATTTTTCAGGAATTGCTTTTATTTTTTTAGTCTAATATATAATAATAACTGTACTGTACTATTATACCGTCATACCATACAATGACGGAATTCTACGCTATCGATCTACAATCACTAATTTGACTAAAGCAAAATATTCAATGAAATTTCTAGGATCTTGAAAACTCAGTGCGCATCGCTGATGTCGAGAACGAAGCAATGAACCCTACTGCAGAAGTGTTGGACTCCTCAGAAGATCACGAGTTCATATCCGCCAATCAACTGGATAACTTCTACAAAGAAGAAGACGTGGCCGAGGCAAAAGAAGAAGAGAAGAGAAGACTCACTAAGGGTAACGCTTCGAAAACTGCAATACAGAAGTTTTATAAGGACCAGTGTGTGTTTGTAACTGGTGGAACAGGATTTTTGGGGAAAGGTGAGTGCTTTGCATGGTTTTTCTTAAGGTATTTGATCTAAATATAAAAGAAAACTAATAAATAAGAACTCAAGATAATTATCCCAAGTAAAGCAGCGCTTGTTAGACAGACAGACAGACGCGCAGATTAAACAACTGATATAAATAATTAAGTACATTTTTATACCTATATTTTAATGTATTATATATAAATAAATACATTTCAAACAAACCTATACAAATACTAAAATTCACGAATGTTTGCATCGTGCGAGGAATCGAACCCGGGATCATAGAAAGTAAACTGGAGTGCTAAATCGCTAGACCACCGAGGCCGTCGACTAGCGTGTTCAATGTTTCGAAATACACCAATAATTGTCTGTATAAAAGGAGGAACTTTGTCAGCTGATCAACTGAAGGCTGAAACTTCTCGGGCAATATTGTTTCCATAATAGTTCCTTTATTAACGCAGGTACCTACTTGGTACGACGCTGGGTATTTCCGGATAATTCCAAGGGAACGAACATAGAGCTAGTAATCCCTAATAAGCAATAGTCTTTTACGATTCGGCATTAATAAATACATGCAACCCAAAATTTTTACCTTTCTACCATCAACTCCTATTTTTAATGGGTCAAGTAATCTTATATGTAAAATTCTCTTGTCACATGTTAGTTACCATACTCCTCCGAAACGGCTTGACCGATTTTTATGACATTTTACATGCATATTCAATAGGTCTGAGAATCAGCTATTATAATATTTTTTTAATTTTTTGGACAATATTTTGACTAATGTGGCATTAACAATTTTAGTAGCGTTAGTTTTTCATAGCGATTTTAATTTATATGGCAAAACAACGTTTGCTGGGTCAGCTAGTATATATATATATATATATATCTATCTCAGTACAAGTAATCTTAGCATAGACTATACGAAAGAGTATCCAAGCGACAAATAGACAACATCATTATGAATCATCATACAAGTTTAAAAGTGTTACATTGCTTACTTATCAACCTACACTCATATTTATCAAATCTATTAAGATGATGTTAAGTAACTATATTCTATTTTGAACATTACAGCAAGCACGACTTCTATCACCGGCAAAAAAAACATCTAAAATGTATACGGAAATAATAACTAGGTACCTACACGTGTTTTTTCCAATTAGTCCACAGAAATAAACCAGTAATCTGTTGTGATCGGTAATTCCACGTCTGTAGGTACCTATAAATAGATGTAAAGACCATTCTCGCTAATATTAGTATGCTGACTTTGACTTTATGCTGATTCAAATAGGGAATATTGTCCATAAATAACGTATTTTGAATGAAGTTCCAATCCCTGGTGGTGCCCTCAAACTAAAATGCCCTACACATGACTCTACAATGAGGGACAATATCGGAGCAGTGTGAGGGTAAAATCAGTCGGCAGGCACTCTATGTAAAACCGACCCGTTTTCTAGGGTCCTAACCCTTGAAAACGGGTCGATTTCAAGAGTTAAGACCCTTGAAACTGACCCCAAGAGATCCAAGGCGCTGCCTATCACTGCTCCTATATTGATTCTGGTTTTAGTGTTGTCTGTAACCGGCAAGCAGGAGTAGGGCTTCATTCGCTATATAAGTCCTTCCTCGGGTTTAGAGAGCCCCTGTACTCGGCCCTACTTACGTACATCAGCTGAAGTTGTAAAGGCTAGCAGCAATCAACTGTATAATGTTAGTTCCAAAAAATCTATTTGCTTTTATTTCGATGATGGATAAATCTATTCAAGTAGGTACCACATGTCATTAATATAAAAAAACTATATATAATTTCTTCTGATATTATCACACTATTACTACTTCTATACGGCCTTGGTGGTCAAGTGGTTCAGTACACAACCTTACTTCCAATGGTCGCGGGTTCAATTCTTTCCATGTTACAAACATTTGTATTCATGGTATGATTGTTTGTGTCGATCTGAGTGTTTTCTATGTATACTATATTATGTATTAACAAAAAGTAAAAATGTCTTTGATATCAGTTGTCTAGTAACATAACACAACATACACTGCTGAGCTTGGGACTAGATAACGTAATGTGAATTGTCCTAAGATATTTATATATTATAATTATATTGTATATGATGATTTAACATACAAATATAGCTGCGTCCACATATCATCCCTAATGCCTAAAATTATGTTTTATGTATTTATTCAAATATTTAATACAGAATTACGACAGAATAAACTATTTAAATATTATAACAAATTCGCTACCAAATGTTCGTAATTATATTTATATTAATAATTATTTGTCAATACTTTAGAACCAGGTCAGGGTTCAAATTGTGTGAATATACTTCGCAACTATTATTAATAGTAAATCATAAGAAAAGATATGCTTGTGGCCGATTAATACAACAGAGTGCAGTGACAGAAGTGTATATAAAACAAATTTATGTAAAGAACCATCCAGAGCCGTAAAATATATTAAACAAAAAAAAAGAACACTTCTATTTTCAATATAGATAAAATAATTTATAAAATTACCAATGATTCTCATTGTAAGTCTAACATATGCTTTACAAGGAATTGTACATTTATATCTTAGAAAGAATAGTTCAGTTTTTAATCATATATTCTGATTAAAGCATAATATATTTTCTTGCTTGTTATCTTAAATGGGATAGTCAACCTTGATATGCCCACATTTCGCTAGATATATTTGAATTCAACTTGACTGACAGTAAGCCTATACCCCACTTGTTTTACTCTACTTTTTAAATTATTGCATACGTTTAATTTTACAATGGAATAGATTTGTACAATAAATAAAAAAACAGATTAATAGAATAGTTTGAAAGAAAAAAAAAACGGAAAGAAAAATGTTTTACGAATAAAGAAGTAATGATTACAAAGCCACCTGGATTATAGGCTAAAATATTATATTTATTGGCTCGACATCTTATATGCCTATATTTAGTAGCTGTTGCCTGCGACTTCGTTTGCATTTCCGTCGTTTTTCGTAAAATAAGTAGCCCATGTCCTTCCTTACGGTTCAGTGGTTTTGATGTGTTTTCCTAATATTCACTGAAATTCACTGCTCTGCTCCTATTTATTGTAGCGTGATGAAAAGAATACTATAACCTGTCCAGGAGTATGAAGCATAATTGTACCAAGTTTCGTTAAAATCCGTCTAGTAGTTTTTGTTATTATAACGAACATACAGACAGGCAAAAATTTTACTGATAACATTTTTGGCATCGGTATCGATCACTAATCACCCCCTGATAGCTATTTTGGAAATACATTTCATGCACAGAATTGACCTCTCTACAGGTTTATTATAAGTATAGATGTAAATTAATATATACAGCTGTTTGTCAGTTTGTTCATCAATCACATTTATAGGATTTGAGGGAATTTAATATAAGGATAGGTTATATTCTAGATTATTACAGGACACCTTTTGTATTATTTCGCACGAAATACAGTACTGATTATTCTAGTATGAAATAAAATATGAAACCAGAAACCAGATTTTTTTTGGGTTACCTACGAGATAACAGTTAGCGGATAGATATCTCGGAAAATATTCTATTTGTATTAAAACTTGTACATTATTAAACCACTATCATGCTTTTCAAGAAAATAGTCAGGAAAATACAATTTCCCTGAAAAATTTACATAAAAATATTGAAACAAATGAAGGTCGATTTCCGAGGTAAGGCGAGGATACAATGTCATCATGAAAGTTACTTATCTTTGAGTTAAATTAAAAAAAAAACAACTATAAAAATTTGAACAAATGTTATAAGATTGTCTATTAATGGACAAGGATTTTTTTTATTGCATGGTTTGATAATGTGCCTTTTTGTTTTTGTGTGTTGTGCTTGCGTTTGTTTTTGCGGTCACTGACCATATTATGGAATGACGTACACGCGAGGATGAATTTGTGGTGCCTGAGGTGAATACATTTTCTTTATCTATGGTAAGTAAACTTTTTGTTTTTTTTAATTGGTTATGGACTGAACAAGTTTGTTTTTGAGTGATGTCTTGCCTTTTGCCTTGCATCTGTTATTTGGGAAATTTAGTACCTAATGACTGACTGAATACAAGAGTAATCTATCAAATACAAAGTCGAAATCCGTTTCGAAGATACACAAAAAATATCGTTTAATTCAAAATCTCCTCGTTTTTGTAGTCAGTAAAATATAGAAAATAGCGCATGGTTAAGATATGGTTCATTCAAGCATGTAAAATGAATAATAAATACACACTTAGTTCCACGATATTTGATTTAATCTTAATGCAGTTTATTTAAGTTTGTTTATCATTATGACTACAGCAAACATAATTATTTTATGTTTACTCTATACACAATATACAGACTTCAAACACCTATTTTAATTTACAATATACTAGACATTAAATATAACAGGTGATCGCGACATTGCTATTTTTAACAAGTAAAGACTTAAATAATATAATTATTTAAATATAATGATCTAATACATTATACAAAATACAAATATTAATATATTTTTTATTATTGAAGTAGACCTTTTTTTAACGTGAACAAGTAAGTACTTCATACATCCTACCAGCGGACTGGAGGATCGGTGTGATATGTGAAATTCTTACTCACAAAAACTCCACGGTGTTACTCGATACACCAAGACAGCAAGCCACAGGAAATACTTTTGTATTCTACCGTGATTGCTGTATTGGTGGTCCGTTCCCCTTCGATCGGTGTCCCGTTCAATTCAAACGGGGATGGAAATTACAACGGACTGAGCCGAGGTTCAAACCCCTAGTGGAACCCTCAAACTAAAGTCAAGGCGGAAGTTGGCCCTCAGCTACTCCATAAGTCCGCGATTTTGGAGTCCCATCTGCACGCCCCCTATCGTCCGGTGAAGCTGTAAAGGCCCGCTGCGGACAACTGGATAAAAGTAATCCGTGAAAAAGCGGTCCGCAGTGTAGGATGTTTAGAGCCGAATTGCACATATACTTTTGAAACTGTAAATCCAT